GTAGGGCTGGTGGGTGGAAAGAGATCAACCAAAGAACCTGTATGCGTAAATCATGGACACAGACAGTAGGATGGTGAAGGCCTCGAGTGGGGGTGAATTAGAAGGGGTCAATGGGGGGCATATTTAATACTTTGAACAATAAAGATTTAATTTAAAAAAGGGGGGAAACAAAGAAAAAAGCTTATAAAATAATAATAAAAAAAAGAAAAATGAAAAATTGAAATGTCATTCCTTTGGCTGGCTTAAGATCCCAGTTTTCTGGAGTGTCTGATTTTTGTTTGTTTGTTTTGTTGTTGCTGGAACCAAAAGCCCTTCTATAGACCAGACCCTGTTAACTCCCAGGGACTAATCAGATTTGTTTAATCCTTCATAGCATTCAGGGTGGAATCTGGGTGTGGCTGTATTCCTTGCCTGGGGGCTGGAGGGAGGAGTTATATCCTCAGGAGAAAATGGCTGCCCAAGTCCTGGGCTCAGGGGTGACTCATCCTCAATTTCCCTGTAAGCTTCTCTCTTACCGGCACTGCATGGTCTGGTCAGCGCTTCAGGCTGCCCCCTTTAGGCCAGTCCTCCATAATTATGGAACCCAGATCTCAAATCCCCCGGCGCCAACAGTCTTACAGATTTCCTTTCCACAGTCAGGGGCCGTGCCTGTCCCAAGGGACACGGCTGGGTGTCACTCAGTCTCCCTCTGACCCTCTGGGCTCAGAGATTTGGCAAACTTTCCTGCCCAGGTCCCTGGTTTTTACCTTTCCAGGGGAACTCTGCCCTTCCCGGCTGCAAACTGTCTCACCAGCTGAGTATACTTCGCCAATTCGGGGGTGGATGTTATCTGTTTCAACTGCTCATTCTATTTGCTCCGGGATGAGCCTTGGGACGGGTCTGCCTATTCTGCCGCCATCTTGTCTCTCCGGTTACCACAGCTCTTAAAACAACCCAAATAACACCAGCTAATTTCTTGTATTGAAGGGTATACCAATGATAATGAAATAAATATCACTATTATATCTCTTATAATTTTTGATAGCTTCAGATTTTCTATTACTCACATGTGTATATTTTGGTATAGTACCAGTACCTTCCATAAGCTTCTAAAAACAGCTTCCAAACTCTATCCAACTTTGCTTTAAGCTAATGAAATAAATTCTCCCCTTGTGCCAAGAAGATGTTAAAATTATACATGTCTGTTAGCTGGAAAAGGCAGCATCTAATCCTTAACACTCTTATTTCTGTAAAAGCAATGATTTATTTTGATTACTTTTCCGTGTCTGAAGAGACTCAGTAATCATCCCGAAGGAAGCTTTCCTTTTAAAACTTTCTATTGATAAAGATCTTTATGCAAATCATCAATTAGCATTTAGCCTAATGTTACAGCCCCAAACCCTTCTCGACCTCTACAGAACATATTCTACAAGGCTCCATATCAGACTGCTGAGGGAGAAGTATGACTTGTTGCTTTTATTCTAACAGAAAGTAAGTCAAAGATCAAAAAGTTAGCTTAAATGCATGGATAATATTTTTTCTAGACCAGCAGTTCTCAACCTGTGGGTCGCGACCCCTTTGGGGATCGAACAACCCTGTCAGAGGGGTCGCCTAAGACCATCAGAAAACACATATATAATTACATACTCTTTTTGTGATTAATCACTAGGCTTTAATTATGTTCAATTTGTAACAATGAAATAGTGGGTCACCACAACATGAGGAACTGTATTAAAGGGTCGCGGCATTAGCACGGTTGAGAACCAGAAGGTATTTACTTGATGCTATCTTTGTTCTTTAGAACTCCAGTGGTAAACTTACTGACTTCCTGAGCTTCTACACACTCCCCTCCACAGTCATGCACCACCCTGCTCATAAGAGCCTCAAGGCTGCCTACTCATTCTACAACATTCACACGGAGACGCCCCTGTTAGACCTCATGAATGATGCGCTCATTATAGCTAAATTGGTAAGCAGTTCATTTATTTTTGTCCTGTGTTTTTCCAAATATGTGTGTGTAAGTGTATAAAGCATCTTACGTATTTTCTTTCACACAAGATGAATTAATTTGAATGTTTATTACTTTTGACCATCGGTCAAAGGAAGAATTTTGATAAGTTTCTTGTAAAATTTCAGTGTCTATTTTCATCAATTCTATTGCAACTTAACCAAAAAGTCATTTTGTATAAAGTAGATACTTTAAACATTTACATAAGAGTGCATAAAACCCATAAGAAATATAAGATAAATACATGATCCCATGATATAAGGAAAATACATGAGTGTTTGTTTTATAGTGAATAATTAGCATCAACCAGTTTTTTGATTTAAATAAATGGTCTCTGAATTTTAAAATGAAAGGAACCTTATTTTTAAAGGGGATTATTGTCAAAATTAGACTATAAAATGAAAGGAATTAAACTCAAAATATGCCTTATTATACTTATTTTTTTTATTTCCTCAGTGTCATAGTTAGGACAATTTAAATTCTTGCTGCAAATAAACATTTTCCTTTAAAAATAAATTAAAATCAGTAGACAGATACATTTTATACATTTTAAAGTAATTATTGAATATGAGAAAATATTCATGAGAATTTGGGAACAACACCTCAAAAGTGTCTTCCTTGCATTTACTAGTATTTGATCAATTTTTTAAAAAACACATAAAAAACCCATTACTAGTGGATCCCCAAATCAACATTATCCTGATTATTTCATCCTATTGCTCATTTTCAACTATTTCCCCTAGAAGGCCAGTAATTAGTTATTTAATGTAAAAACCCTAAGACATAGAAATGTAGGTGCTTCATCTATATCACCTTTTGCATATTATTATCTAACATTTTAAAGACATTAGATTTCTACTATTAAATTTTAGAAAATTTATTTTCCATTATCAGCCCAAGACAAATATACTATTTAAAGTTTTTACAACTTTGGTTTCTTGGCTGTAACTTGAACTAAGTCAGAACTTAGAAAGACCAGTAACAGTTTTGGAGATGGAGCCATCTAGGTGACTGTTCCTTCTAAAACAGGAACAAATATTTTCTGAACTTTTAATAGATTTTGTTATGTCACTGTGAGCCAGCATACTATATTTTAATTCAGCATTGCTGGATAGCTGACTTCATCAGATTCATTGCTAGTTATATATAACTGAATTCTTAACCTATATTATATATATTACAGACATTGAATCTTATTATAAGTGTATATTCAGGTTATAGGAATTCAATGTTATGCTGAAATACTTAATACAGAAAACACTCTAGTCTTTTGAAATTTTCAATCTTTTTTACATTGGCAGAAAGGATTTGATGTATTCAATGCACTAGATTTGATGGAAAATAAGACATTCTTGGAAAAACTCAAGTTTGGAATAGGAGATGGCAATTTACAGTATTACTTGTACAATTGGAGGTGTCCAGGAACAGATTCTGAAAAGGTAAGAAAAGTTGATATATGCTTTATAAACTTAATATATTTATCTAGGAAATTCCATACTTCCCTTAGGATTATTAATTTTTTAGTAGCTTTTAAAAAACACGGGTCTATTGTACTACATTATAACTTAACTAGAGGCCCGATGCACAAAATTCGTGCAAGAGTAGGCCTACCTTCTCCCGGCTGCCTGCACGGACTTCCCTCCAGCCACTGGCAGGCACCCGGGATCTGGGCTTCCCTCGCAGTCCCAGCTTCGTCCGGAAGTTTGTCAGGAAGGATGTTCAGTCTAATTAGCATATTATGCTTTTATTGTCTCTTGCTTATCTGTCCTTACTATTCCATTTCTTCCCTTCCTTTAGGTTGGACTTGTATTACAATAGATGGATGTTTCCATCCCTAGAACTCTGAAACCACCCATCATTTATTAATATTCTATTTAATGATTCCTGGAACTGTCATTCCAAAGAATAAAAGCACAACCTAAGTGAAACTGATACAGTCAGTAATAATTGGAAAAGTTGAAAAAACATCCATATGTGACCAATACTACATATGTCTAGCTAGAATGTTAACATTCTTCCTTTTTTTCACTGTTTACCCATTTGAAGGAGGGATGAAAGAGTACAAAGAGCACATTCCTCTAATTTTCAAATTTTTGACCATCTCTTGAAGGTATTTTTCCATTCTCTAGAAAGGGCCTTTTTTTTTTTTTTTTTAATGGACGGAACAGAAGTCACAGACTTGTGTAAGAAAATCTTTGCTAATGTATGGAGATAAACTGCTGCATTTCTATTTATCAGGTGATGGTCTTTTTGTCTGTGTAACAGAATAAAGGATCCAATTGGGAAATTTTTCCTCCTATCATCTTCCATGCTATCATTGGAGACATTTCTGGATTCAGCATTTCCACAACTCCATGATGAGTGGTGGGTGTTTGTGTGTAGAGCAAGATAAAAATGTACTGGTGACTAGTACATTTATTTCTCCAGAAGCAAAGTTGCCAAATTAATAAACACACAAATTTGTACTTTAATGTTCAACAGGTTGGTGGTTGGGTTCAAAAGCAAAGTTTTGTGCAAACATGAAATGTGCTCTCTGAAAGAGTATGCACCATGACTAACTAGACTTTGCTGCTGCTGCACAAACTCGCTTCTTTTCAGGAACAGCAAGGATATGTGAGGAAAAGAAAATATAAGTGCTAAAGTCAAAGGAACTGCCCAGTGGAATTTATTAGTGCTATCAGGATATTGATAGTTTGAATGTTTTTATTATGCAAAATTGCACATATTCCTTAATGCTGACTTTAATTTATCATGAAAGCTGTCATGCTAATAGAAAATGTCTTATTTGTAAATAAGTATTCATACTTTTGTTACTGATGGTGTTTTTATCTAGAATTTGAAAAAACAAGTTTCACAGTGTACATATATATATATATATATTGTCAATAGTTCAAGGAGAAAAAAGATGCTAAATGAGGCCATATAAACTGGCCTTGACTCATTCCACGAAGTAGTTACTTTTTTCTGCCTTCCCTCTTCCAGTGCCTAGGCTGTTCTGTCCAGAAAATTTTAATTATTTTAGACATGATGGCTTTTCCTTCATGTTATAAGTAGTCAAATGAAACCAGTCCTATCTTATACCAGGCAGGGGCTAGCAAACTATAACCCATCACCCTAATCCAGCCCATCACATGTTTTTGTATACCCTAAGCTAAAGATGATATTTACATTATTGAGTGGTTAGAGGAAAATAACATTTTGGGATACATGAAAATTATATGAATTTCAAATTTCAGCATCCATAAATAAAGTTTTATTGGAACACACACTTATTCACTAATATACTGCCTATGGCTGCTTCATGCTACAAAAGACAGAGTTGATTTGTTTCAGTAGAGGTTGTATGAACCAAAAAGTCTAACATATATGCTATCTGGCCCTGAAAGAAAAGTTGTTGATCCTGATTTACATTAAGGAGCTAAAAGCTACTTTCTGCAGCTTGCCATTAACCAACAGGCCAACCCAGGGCTTGTGGTATCCTTGAGACTACCGGTAGAGGGCGTGCGTGGGCCCCACAGTAGAGCGTACTCCAATAACTGTGTACTTTCTTGAAGACATAAAGGAAGAGTTTTTAGGATGATTCAACCCAGTGGTATTACTATTTTTCCTTAACAGAAGATGAAAACTTCAAGAAGCAAAACTGAACCAATTCACTGAAACTTTTTTGAGATACCAGAGTTAAATAAATGAGATTTTAACTTAATCTGAAGCCAAAAGCACAGTTGGGAATTATGTTCCATTCATTTTTATAGCACAGAGTCATACAAAGGGAGATTTTCAAATAATTACAGAATTGCCAGTCAGAAATTTTGTCACGGGCTAAAATTCCAATTTTATTAAAATCTTTTTTTTGTCTCATTTAAAAATAACTAGCACATTTGCCTCTATAATTTAAACAAATTATGTAAAACTGCTGCGTTTAAGTAGCTATTAGAACTAAATTTCAGTGTAATATAGTGTTTTACATATTCAAAAAAACCTACATTTGTCCTGCATCCTTTGTCAATAATGGAAATACTCAATTTCTTAAGGGATTTTTTTTTTTTTTTTTTTGCGCCACGATAGTATTCAGTAAAATTTAAATGAGTGGAGGTGGCATAATTCATGCATCAAACAGAATTAAAGCTGAAAATAAATTCTGGCCACTCTTCCCCTTAAATTAGAAAAAGTTACTTTTTCAAACACACACTGTAGGTAGCAGACACTGTCATAACCATAGAGTACTGATTATGCTCCATTTCCTAACATGAAGGATGCCCATCATTGTACAGACTTGCCTCTGAGAATCCAAGCTCCGTTTTTTTATTTTCTTCCTGCCTCATTTCACCTGATTACCATCACACTTTTTATACATGTTAAATTTTCAAGGAAATGTTAACCATGTAAAGGGGTGAATTCTAACTAGTCAAAAGACCCTATCTGGCTTTCCCTAAAGGTGTCAAGCCTTTCTCCCAAAGGAAGTAAAATAGAAGGAAGTAAAAACCTGATGTATTGTTTCTGAAGACAATGTATTGCTTAGCATTTAGTATCTTTCCTTTAAAACTGATGGTGTATCTGCAGTCCAGTTTCATCTACTCTAATTTAGACCATGTGTACTGTGGTACATTTTCTAAGTTTGAGAGAAAGATGTTAAGTGCTGTAGGATACAGATGTTTTTGCTCACAAGCATTGTACCAACCTTTAAAAAGTGAATCTATACTAGCATGGACATTAGTGTCAATAAACTTTTGATATGCATACTTCTGAATATTTTCTGCATTTAGTGTTTTTAAGCTTCAGCATATCTGTGCTGTCTAAAAGTCTTATGCATTTGAAAGGAACATTTACCAAACAATCTCCCACAGATCTATGTAAAAGTAATTCAGTTTATTAGCTTCAAGGTTTTTTACAAGGAGTCATTTTCCAATTGTATGTAGTGACAAGTTTATACATGATTACTTTGAAGTAATTTTTTTACTTTTGGGTGGTTTCCTTTTTTTATTAGGGTTTGGAATCAGTTTCTTTATTTTAAGGGGTTGTAGCACTGCAGCCTGCTGACCTTCAGTGAGCTTTCTCTTATGTTTAGAGAGGTCTTCAAAGGAAGTGTCCCAAATCTCTCTGTCTTGACTTTCCAAAGATTCGGACTCTGAATTTTCCCTGGAGTCTTCAAATCTGTCTTGAAGCCATGGTACATTTAAATTGGGTACTCTGGGGATTATAGCTTTCACTTCATTGACAAAGTCAGTGGTGTTCTTTTTGAATCCCAAAGCTAGGACACATTTTAAGCCAATGACAGGCGCAATTCTCTCACTGAGACGGGGAACCTGACAAGCAGGGACCGTTCTGCTTAAACTTAACTGAATCAGGTGTGAGGTGATGATCGCAGGCTTGACTGACTTACACACTAAAACCAAAAGCAGTTCGTTCCTTTCCAGAGCCCTGGTGACTTCATTAACGCCAATGGCAAGCTGCTTCCTCACCTGGACAGAAGTCCACCCTGATACTTGTTCATTATCTTCTGTTTTTTTCTCCTTCAGATCCTCACTCATATGAACATCTATGCTACATTTGTCTCTGCCTTGTTTTTTAAAAAACTGCTTTTTACTTCTTTTCTTATTCTCAATTTTCTCAAGTCCAATTGATTTAAATCTGTCTTCAAGTGTCTGTAAGATGAAGTGCAAATCCTCTCTCTCCAGAGCACTCCAGCAGATAGTATACGGGTTGTTCAACGATGTCTTTACAGTTAAAGGTCTTGTCTTCCGAACCGAGCCTCTCCCTGGTGCCTGAGGAGCTGCAGCCATTATAAAAATCCTTCACTGAGAAGCAAAACGACAAAGGACAATTGTTAACTAGCAGCACATGTCTTAAGAATATCCTGGTTATACTTATTCTGATTCTTTACAGGCTACAGCAGGCCTAATCATAGAGGACCAATTATGTGACCAGACACTTGACCTCTCTTTTTAAGATTCAGTAATTTCCCCATTTTTTTTTCATGACTGTTTTTATTCATATATAGGTCATATAGGAATGTTTTGCATTATTGCAATCACAGTGAAATTCTATTTGTTTATTTAGTTTATTAAAAATGTTTCATGTTGCCCTGACCTGTGTGGCTCAGTTGCTAGGGTATTGTCCCATGCACTAAGGGTTGCTGGTTTGATTTCCATTCGGGGTTGTGGGATAGATCCCCAGTAGGGGGTGTGCAGGAGGCAGCCAATCAATGTTTCACTTTCACATGGATGTTTCTCTCCCTTCCTCAGTAAAAACCAATAAAAATATTATTTAAAAATAAATAAAAATTTTCTACATGTTCAGAATTAGCGGTTAACCTCTTAATGGCTGTATGATATTCTCATAGATTTGTTACCATTCTCTAAATTCCTCTCTAGTTAGGCTTCCATTCATCCATTCAACAAATATTCACTGAGCACCTCCAAAAGTGCAGGCAGTGTTCTAGGCTCTGGGGTTCAGCATCAACAAGTCCCCACATCCACCCACATAAGTCCCCTTGTTCACCTCCATGGAGCTCACAATCTGTGAGGGCCCTGGAAGTTTCTGCCATTAATGATTAACTACATGTGATTTTTTTAAAAAAAAAACTTAAATAGTAACATCTGCACATGTTAAAAATTCAAATGGTACTTTCATTTTATGCCTCTTGTAAGTCCTCCTCCCTGGACTCTGAGTTTCTTATGTATCTCCCTAAAACATTTGATACACATACAGATGGACAGTTCCCCTTCCTACAGTTATTCCAAGCCAACTGCTCCTCCAGCTGGCAATGTGATGAAAACTAGCAAGATTTTGTAACGAAATTTAAAGATATTAATCCATTAGGGAAAAATAACCAGAAGGTGCCTTACTGGGAAAATGTTATAAAACACTGGTCTAGCCCAGCTGGTGTAGCCCAGTGGCTGAGCATCAACCCATACACCAAGAGGTCTCCTGTTCAGTCCCCAGCAGGGTCCTGTAAGAGGCAGCGGTCAATATTAATTTTTCTCTCTCACCAAGGTTTCTATTTCCCTCTGAAATCAATAAACAGAAAAAACAAAACCCACCAGTCTAGGGAGTATATCATGTTTCTCCTTCCCAGAGACAACTGCATATCCTTTCTCTTCACTCAGTTTTCTTCCTCACATTCTTTCTGGAGCTCAGGTAACAACCGTAGGGACCCACATGGCAAAACTCAAGGAAGTTAAGCCAGCTGTGAAGACATCTGGAGTTTGGAACTACCCCTACTTTCAGGTTTCTCATTCCAGATACTCCCTCATTTATACCACTGAGCCTCCCCTCCCTGGAACACGGCAGGCAGGGTTAGGAATTAATCCTCTCCAAGTGAACTCCTACTTACTGGGCTGTCTACTGATGTTGACAAGCAAGTGTCTCTGTGGAATGTCAGAATTTATAAGGTACTTGCTCCATGTGTTGAGTCTCACAAATTTCCTGTATAATTGCCCAGCATGTGGATGAGGAAACAGACTCGGGTCAAACACCTTGCTTGAAGTCACAGCTGGTTCCCAAATCTAAATTTTATGCTCTCCCAATCCTGGCTGCACTTCAAAAATAATCTGTGGCCTTTAAAACATAGAGATGGTTGGTCCTTACACTCGATCTACTCAATTGGAGTCTGAGAATAAGACTGGTGCACCTGGACTTGTAAAAAGTTGCCTGGGTGAATGTGATGCAGAACTGGAATAAGGAACCACAGGTGTAGGACAGGAGGCTTATCCACACTGGATAGCTCTAAAAATGGTCTCCTGACCTCTCCTGGTCCCCACAGATCTCACTCATATCAGTATCATGTCCACTGCTAGAGACTATCTGCAGTCTTCAAACCAGCCACACTGCACAGCCCGCGCCTATGCCCATTCTCTACATGCTCCACTCAAGCTCAGGGAACTGGGAAGGAGCTCATTCAAATCCAAGGTTGGTAGCAGGTTTAAGGTGGTCAGGAAGACAAGCAAGACAAAAATGATCTGCCCTAGCCTGTTTGGCTCAGTGGATAGATCATTGGCCTGTGGACTGAAAGGTCCCAGGTTCGATTCTGGTCAAGGGCATGTACCTTGGTTGCCGGCACATCCCCAGTAGGAGGTGGCTAATCAATGTTTCTCATCGATGTTTCTAACTCTCTATCCCTCTCCCTTCCTCTCTGTAAAAAAAATCAATAAAATGTGTATTTTTTAAAAAAGACAACAATGACCTAACAGAGCTCTTGCCAAACTGCAAGTCAGTTAATGTGTCAACATTCAAAGACAGAATAAATACTTACAGTGATTTGCTCTGGAGAGAGCAAGATATGCATTAACTCCTTCTGTCTTCAGAATCTGGTTGGGGAGATGAGAACCAAGTTCAGATAAGCAGAACCTTAATGCCCTATAATGCACAAATACTCACTGGTAAAGAGGAGTAACAGCTTTGGAGGAGAAAATAGGAAGCCCTTGCTGAGGTGCCTTTGGGGCTGACTGGAGGCCTCTACTGCCTATAGGACAGTGATGGTGAACCTTTTGAGCTCGGCGTGTCAGCATTTTGAAAAACTCTAACTTAACTCTGGTGCCATGTCACATATAGAAATTTTTTTATATTTGCAACCATAGTAAAACAAAGATTTATATTTTTGGTATTTATTTTATATATTTAAATGTCGTTTAACAAAGAAAAATCAACCCAAAAAATGAGTTTGCGTGTCACCTCTGACACGCGTGTCATAGGTTCGCCATCACTGCTATAGGATCAAGTGCAAACCCTTTAAGGCCCCCCACACACTGGCCCGTCTCCCCACCAGCCTTTCTCCTGAGGTGCCCCAACACACATTACATCCCGCCACTGGGCCACATGCTACTTAATGAAGTCATCCGTTTCTCCTCTCCATGTCGTTATGCACATTATTCCCTCTGCCAGGAATACTACTCCCATCCTCAGCCTCATAGCGCCCTTTCTTACTTCAAGTATTTCTGGATTACCCACAGTACAAGCCATGAAATAGCACAGAAAAACAGTCACTGGCCTCACTGAGCTTAGACTATGAGGAAGACATACCAGCAGAAAATCCAGTAAGACATTCAGACCAGGGACCAACAGGGCCCTAAGGGGACATAGCAGAAGCCTGGCTTAGTGGAGGGGGTCAGGAGGGCCTCCTGGAGGCAGT